TATACATATATGTGTGTATATATGTATGTATGTATGTATGTATGTATGTATGTATGTATGTATGTATGTATGTATGTATATAGTTATAATTATAGTTATATTTATATTTATATTTATATGTATATGTCCCTACACTCCCGGAAGGCTAAGGCGTGGCTCGGGGAATGTTCAGAGCCTCCCAGAGGCGCGTGGCGCGGCCGGCGAACCTGGAGGATGCCATCCGCGAGGCCAAGGCGGCGGAGGAGGCGGATGCGCCTCGGAGCAGCGTGGGATTTGAAAGACGACCCAGAGAGCCTAGGGGTTTAGGGTTTAGGGTTTAGGGCCCAATATGTACCCCTTAAAATTGAGGAATATATACCTTCAATTATAGGGGCCTTAATGTTATGATTTGAGGTCTATTCCTTTAGTTGAGGGGTATTGGGCTCTCTGGGTACAAGCTCCGGGCTTTATATCCGCTCGCATAGCGTGTTCGAGCGGCATCACGTGTGAAGATGCCATGGTGCAGAATACGGTTCTTTCCAGAACCCACCCTAAACCCTAAATCCAGAACCCTACACCCTAAACCCTAAGCCCTATGCCCTAAACCCCGAAAGGAAAGCGGCAGTCACCTGACAAACACTCGACGCGGCGAGCCCAAACCCCGAGGGCCTGCGCCCCCAAACCCAGGCCCTTCAACAAAAACTGCCGACAATCCCCAGAGCCTTACCCTAAACCCTAAACCTTAAAGCACAGCACCCAAAATCTCAAAAGCCGAAACTGGCAAGTCCAAATATCAAAGCCCGAAACCTCCGAGCCCCCGAAACGTCCGAGCCCCCCCCTCCAAACCCCTCCGAAGTCCGAGGCCAAGCAGTGGCCGCCGAAGGACTGGCTGCGGATTTCCACCACGGTGGCATCAGAGGAGGCCCTCTGCCGCTCCTCTGATCCCAGGGCATCGAGGGTTTAAGGTCTAGGGTTTCAGGGTTTTAGGGTTTTGGGGTTTAGGGTGTAGGGGTTTAGGGTTTGGGCCGAGAGTTCAGGATTTAGGGTCGAAGGAGAAGGCTTCGGGAATTTTTTTTTGGGGGGGTTTAGAGGATTCAGGCCTTGGGATGCAGAGTGAGCAGGATGCCCCTGAAGGTTTTAGGTTTTTTCACTCCAAAAGGTTTGTGAAACCCAGGTTGGGCAGTGGGCGTGTGAAGTCAGGCATCAGTATGGGGCGCGACACGCACCTTCAACCTCACAGAACTTGTTGTAGCAGTAGATATAGCAGCTGCTACCAGATCCCTGTATTGCTCCGGGCTCACAGCTCCGGGCGAACCTAAATCAAAGAGCTTCTGCACTGCATCCTTAAATTCCGTAGGGCGACAACAAGCCGCCAAAACTCATGCATTACTTTCGGGTCCAACAAAGACGCTGCCACCAGTGACTGGACCCAGCGCCATGATGCCATCGTTCGGGTGCCTGTGTGCTTGGCTGTGCAGTCCTGGCCATCCTAGCCGACGAGGAGAGCAGCTGCCCAAGCCCGCGCCATCGGCATCAGCAAGGTCAGAGGTGCCAGTGACGGTCTTCGACTTCATGCCAACGACGGGATCGATTAGGATGGACTATGGCACCGCGACGTCCTCTTTGCAGAGTCACAGCAAAGTGGTGAAGGCTGTACGTCAGGCTCTTGTGCAGCAGCTTCAGGTTCCACTCGAGGCAGTTCGTGTGACGCTCTCGCCTGGTAGCACACTCGTGCATGTGCAGATCGTGACCGCTAACATGCAGATGGCATCACGTGTCGCGACTCTTTCCGCAAAAGCAGGAGGAAGGTCTCTGCTGAATAGCCGAATAGCATCAATTCCCGCTTGGCAGAGGCGCAACTGGAGCAAGTCAACCCTGCAGTGGGTGCTGCCTCCTTTCGCTTGAAGGTCATCTCTCACAAAGATGCCGATGACGCGCAGGCGATGCCAAGACGGGTCCGAAGTGACAGTGACGACTCCAAGAATGCAAGCCGAGTGGAGGGACCACGAGGGCGGCCAGAGGCAACAAAGCTCATATTGAACAGCAAAATCGACGCGATCTATGCTTCCATGAGAGCTGCTGGAAAGATGATCATGCAGGAGTCGCCGGCCTCCACGAAGCCGTCGACGGATGACACTCGCGGCAGCCAGCCAGTTTCAGTACTCCGCGTTTGTTGCAGCGATCCGAAGCGGCTGAGCCTTGCTGGCAGCTACCGAGCCTTTGGGCAGCTCTATGTGCGCGCCAGCTTCCGTAAGGAGCGCGGGGAGCACTATATCCACTATTGGAAGGAGCCGGATGATTCTGAGCTATGTGGCTGGTGGTTCAGTGACAAAGATGGCCTTTCGATGGCCTTTCACAAGGACACAGGCACACGGCCGCCTAAGACAGGCTGGAGCATCCCGACCTTAAGCTTACGCACCTTTGAACCCAAGAAGGCCACCTGGAAGCCATGACGCGCAGCGAGGGGCGCACGACAGATGACAAGAAGAGACAAAAGATGACGGCATGCATCAATTGCATCAATATTCATACTGTTGCTGTTGCCTGATGTCCTAGCAGAAGATGTTCTGTGACACCCCCAAAATGTTCGGGTTTGGGGTTTGGGGCTTAATGGCTCAGGGGTCCCAATCCCAAAGGCCAGACCGCCTTCCCTTCCAACTCTTCTCTTAGTTCTCCAATACCCAACCTTTATTTTTTTTGGGCTCTTATACTTTCGTAGTAATCTGAAGGTCTAACCTTTTATTGCCCTGGCTTATTGGGGAAGCAAGCTTTTGTGCCTAAACCCTAAACCGTAAACCCTGAAACCCTAA